GTTTTCGGCAACTCGCCAAGCCCGGCTGCGAGTCTGCAGGCGTGGCAGTAGTGCGCCAACCACGATACACCACGTAGCTATGTAATGCGCTGATTGGGTATCTCCTGGTCAATAAGCCGCCATTATAGACGGAGGCGTTGAGAGGGCGAAGGCAGTCCTACAGCTGCCATTATTTACCAGCCGTTCTTCTGATTGATGATGGCGTTTAGACCACTGCCGCGCAGACTCCTTTTTTGCCCAAATACCCTAGATTTTGACGGAATATCAAATCAGCCTCACGACTGATTCACGTATATGAAAGCTACTAGACACTAGTCAGTTAACTTAAAACCCAATCCAAGCCATAGTACCATAAACTTATGACGATTTTGTCAGTAGTTGTTCTAGTATCGATATCGGCCTTTGTAATCGCGTTGCTTACGGACCGTACCGCACGACCGGCTCCATCCATTTCCGATAATTGGCACGAATTTTGCTAGAAACCGCCTACTATGGATGAACCTGCGCGTGCCAATTTTTTTGTGAAACGGGAGCCAACTACAATTTCACAGTAACGGAGTGCGCCCTCATTTATATAGCTCCTGCTGCTTGTACGCTGCCACAGGGCGAACTGCCTTATCCGTTACTTCGCATGTTTGTTGAATATGGTATTACACTCTCTGCTCCTTTAATCATCTGCCGGCATGCAATTGATCTTGCTACCTTAACGGGTGTCTTAGTTTACTTGCCTTGGACGGAATCGGCCTGTTCACTTTGCTTAGCTGAAACCACCGCTTCAACGTTTGTCACGCGTAAACTTCCTGAATGCCGTTGATACATGCTCGAGACGTGTGCCGGACATAAAGAGATAGAAAGCGGCTCGCGTTAATTAGCACTAGTACTTAAATATTCTCTGGTGTTTTAAATGAAATTGAGCGTTGGTCCACTGTAGGTCGAAGGTAGGCATTGTGTATAAATACCTACTGTAGTTGCTTGAACGGAGCGTGTTCAGTACAGGGAGGCATTCTCATTTAGGAAGATGTTGCGCGGCGCGTTCCTCTTCAATGACCAAATCGTTACCTTAAGTATATTTATGCGCTCTTCAGCACTGTAAGTTGTTTTTTGGTAACGACCCCTTGGTCTCA